AGACTGCCAAGAGCCCACATAAGCAGAAGGTAGCGCACAAGACAAAAGATGCGCCATGAACTCACTACAGTCGTGTTGCATGGAAAGATTGGCCCACCCTCGTAGCAGCGGCAACCAGGCAAGACAACTCGGTATGTAGCAAGCACTAGAATGCATGAGGACTTTCATGGCAGCTGTGGCCTGTCCATAGCAAAGCTCGCTGTCCGCAGCCAGGAAACCCAACCAACAAAAGGCCTGCGCAGAAGCATTGAGGTAGCAAACTGAGTGCGGATTGCGAAGTTTGGCTGGCAGGAGGCTTCGGGCATTCAACTGAGCATGACACCTGAGAGCAACAGTCCTAGTGCCTGGCCTTATAGCAGGGCCCCCTAGGCCCTCCTGCTCTAGCTGCTGCCCTCCTGTGCCGGTGCTGCAGCTGGCGCGTTCCACGTGGACGATCGGCGTGTCCAATCCGTGTAGGGTGTCTGGAGGTAGGCTTCCTCCACGGCCTTGCCCATGGCCGATTTCGCCATTCTCTCGGGGCGAAAGCACATCCCCAGGAGCTTGGCCGCGCCGTTGTCTGACAGGAGTGTCAGCGCTGTGTGCGCCTCCTGAGCATGCTGGCCTCGAAGCCCCACTGAGATCAAAAACGGGACAACTTCGCTCTGTGTCTGTGTGCCCAGAGGCCGGGTAGACCGAAAGCGAAGGAGCACACCCGGCAGGCAAGTCGTCCTGAGCAGAGTCGCAACGCACTCCTGGACCTGGTCCTGTGTCAAGGGGGGACGGTCGGCCTTCACGGAGGTCTTGCTCTCTGGATCCCGCCGATAGTAATGCCATACCGGCGAGAGCGCCGTGGCACCCTCCGAAATCCACCCCACCCGTAGTAGGAGGCGGCTCCGCAGGTCCTCGTCCTCCAGCACCTTCTGCAGCTCCGCCTGGAACATCTGCATGATTCCTTGGAAAAGGACCACCCGTAGGGAGGAGGTAGCCGGGCTTTTGCCACTTGTTTGGCTGATCCCACTGCTGCTGCTTCTGGCGATCCGGTGCCGGCAGCGCGGTCGAGGCTTGAGAGGCACGGTCCTCCTGGCTGCCTCCCCAGACATCCTCCGCCTCCCTCTTGGCCACCGCACGGATCTGCAGCTCGCCCTCCGTCTCCATCGTTTTCCTGCCGTGCAATCAAGTGAAGAAGGGCGGCTTGAAACAAGGCTGGGCAGTGACGCAGGTGTGACCGTGGTGTTTTGAACTGGCCTCCGCAGTAGGTGCAGGGAGTGGCAGCACTAAGACCGGCAGCGCTTGAGCACAGGCTGTTGGCATCATCTTTATGTGTCCAATGCTTCGCATGCGCGAGTCTGACATGTTGCTTCACTCCTGGTCCCTGCATTGAGACCCACTGCCCACAGATGACGCAATGAGTGCGAAGGCTGGAGAGGTGCTCAGGTGACTGTAACAATGCACGCCAGCTAGTTTTGGCAAGCTCTCGGGCTTCTATGCGCTCAAGAAGAGGCAAGGTCGCGCTCGGCTGCACATTATAATCAGCTTGTGCAACAGGAGGGGCCCGGCACGAATGCCCATGCAGCCCCTCAACCTCTTCGGCTCCCTTCACCGAAGAGGTATCAGTTACAATCTCCACCTGTGGCAGGACCTTTGCGTGAAGTACCCGACATGAACCCTT